ACCGTACACATGGCGGGCGATCGAGGGCCAACCTAAAACCACAGGCTACTGCCTAGGTGTATAAGTAAATGCCGCTGGAATAGATTAAAACTAATCCGATTAGCTCAATAACCGGTATATAGTCTTCTTTCCTCTTGAGACTGCTGTTGGCCAGTGCGTCTCGACGAAGAATGGCTCGCTCGCAGTTTAACGTCCATGCAGTTTCAGTTCTTGTTGCACTGGTATTTGTAGCTTCAACTTCAGTAGTCTGGTCCAGGAGGGTGGCGGACACCCCGAACGGACCAGTTGGCGCCATTATCGCCGTTGCGAACCTCAGTGGCACGGTGAGTGAAACAAAAAATCGCTTCTCTCCCACCTTATGCACCAATATATGGCTTCAGTCGGAGCGTTCGGGGTGCGTGTTTTACTTGGTTTCCGACGTTCACATTCACCAAACAGAAAACCCAGGACCGGTCACAGAACCCTGCGTGGCGTATCCGAATCGCTGACCTCGCCACCTGCTGTTCCCTCTCTTTCTCGGCATCTGATGTTCATACGCACCTAACAATCTCACACATTGCTTTGCGTTGGAAAACCTGCCGGTGACACGAACAAGAGACCGCGAGAGACCCCAGCACATGCATGTCTGAAATGCCTTGCGTATTTCCAATCGCACTCATTTGCCTGCCTTTACCTTCACATTTACACAGCCGAGCGCGAGTGGGCGAGTGGTGTTGAGCTGGTACAACAGCAGCGCCCATGTCAACGTGACTCTGAAGGGCTCCTTGACCAACATCACCATGGCGCATATTCACCTGGTGCGTAACTACGCACCGCTCATTTATAAAGGCTCAATCAGGATGCCGGTTTCCCTTACCCAGCTTTGATGAAATTGGTTGGGTCTATGCACGTTGGGTGGCAGTGGGGTCGAGTGAATTGCCGCAGGCGGGTTTTAGCTTGCCTGTTTTTGCATGAGTTTTGAGGTTTGTGCCAAACCCAGCTTGTGAAGCCCTACGGCATAAAAAGATCAGGCAGCCCGTCCTCTGTCGTTGTACATGTCTATGATTTCTTTCATTTCTTTCATTTCCTTAGGTCGATTGGGTGGGTGTGGTCCCCGCTGTAACACGTTTGTTCGCGGTTGCAGCCGCCCGCCCCCACCCGCCCAAGCCGCCGATGTTTGTGCTTGCGCCTTACCCCGCAGAATGATTCGTCGCGGAGTAACCCGGTCATCGCGGGCCTTCTTCCCCGCATGAACAGCTGGCTTCCCAAGCAGCTGAACCCCCCGGTGTCGTACGACAAACCGTACACGTTCAACATCGCTTTTGACGCCAGGTACCTTGCCATGGTTACCTCTGACATGACGGCCGAGACGTTTCTGTCGCTGCTTAAGCAGGGCCAGCTGTTCGTTAATGTGCACACAGTTGCACAGCCGACCGGTGCGCTTCAGGGCACGCTGATATGCAAGGGAGATTGCAAGAGCCATACCGGGTACTGAAGCGAAACGAGGAAAGGGGCTGGTTTAGCACACGGAGGCTAATGGACAGGTGCTCCTCCCACATGCACACGGCAGCGACCGCTTGGCAGCCGGCAGCTAGATGTGTGTATGTATGTATGTATGTATGTCGGGGCAGTAACAGGACGGACTTGAGATGTGTGTTTTCGTTTGAGTGAGCATGTACGCGGAACACGCGTTTTCCGGAGTGGCAGCAGCAGTGTCATGCGGCTGCCTTAATGGTGCAGTTGGAAGGATGAGCCTCTCTAATTCGAGGTGCATGCGAGACCATTCGTCCGCCCAATGCTGCCCAGCATCGTTGACCACTGACCATCTGGGGGCATCTCCTGCCTCCGTGCGCGGCTGTTGTGTGATGTATTTGCTGCAGTCCATGGTTGGAGGCGGTGTAAATGTAGCAGCCAGTACACAGTACGGTGCTATAAATACGCGCAGAGCGCGACCGCCAGCAACTCGAGAGACCTTTTCAGCGGTCAGCTGCTACAGTAAACTGTAAATGAGCGAATGTACGCGGCAATCGGTGGACGGACGGGCTCCCCATGCAGTGCTCCGCTGCATGGCGGGCTTCTGTGCTTTTGGGTTTAAGGATGAGCGTGGTAAACCTTGCACGTCGCTGCTGAAGCTCACTAGCTACGCTGTTGTTTTCCAATTGACCTGGCCTGCTGCTGCGTACTGGTACGGCCCACTGATGCCACCGACAGGAACGCGGTTGCCTCCGCCGCAACCATATACAAGGCATAACCATGTAACATACATATGCAACTAATCAACACATGCGCTTTTCCGCCAACACCCAAGAGTGGCAGTTCCAAAGGTTTACCGAAGTGCACGTACCAGGCCTGACACGCCGACAACAGATTGTCATTTGGCCTCCATTGATAGATAACTTCATGATGTAAAGGTCATCTGCACCCAAGATACATACCGAAATACTTATTGCCCGGTCAGCCGGCAGCGGGCTGGTGTACCATCTGCAGTCACCCTACAACATGGTGTCGCACATGTTTGCGGCAACTAAAACCTCATAGTGACGGCATTAGGAGTGCAACCCACCGGATTACCTGTGCTGTCCGCCCCCAAATACCCTGAAGGTAGGCCAGCCGAGACCCATTGAGGCTCAAAGACGAGCGCCGCACCAAGGCCCGGACTGCCACTCAATGAAACAGATAGCGTCACTCCCCTGCCTAGGCACGCGGCGCAACCGCTGCATCGGTGTCTGAAGCTATCCAGCAATGAGGCCCCCGCGTATTAGCTGCCCCGGGGTAATAGCCCGTAGGCCATTGTCGCTCTCGCATGCTGTTGCGCTGTCACAAATGCTTGCGGCGGTGTTTTTCTGTTGATCTGCTGGTCCACAATTTGAGACTTCTCCTCACAGATTCTAACAGATTTTCCGAGGCTCTGTGGAAACTAGACAAGAGTCGAACATGGCTATTGGTGAAGAAATTTCCAAAACCTTTTCATCAACAGCCATTGTTAAGACTACTGAAGCTTTTGAGTGAGTCGTACGGTGAGTAATCACTTCTCTGTATCAGAAAACGCCATCAGGTTTTAGAAAGCATGTCCGAGCGTACGCACGTACCTGCTGGGACTGGAAGGTGCGTGCGATGTGCAACATCGAAGCCAGTCGTCACAGCGCTTCCATGGATGCCGGCAATCATTCTCAGGGAAATGCATAACCTGGAAATCTTATATCATAAAATATCATAGAAAGTGGAAACTACAGGAAGGTGCACAAGTATCTTGGGGATCACGACGCGTATGCCCGTTCGTGCACGGCGCGTCGAACGTTTTGGCGGGTGGTAGAGTTCCCTGTATCGCCGACAACAGCGATGCGCTATAAATTGTTAGATTGTGCTGTTAGAGTGACGACCTGAGGGCACCTGCGTACACTTATGGTATGTGCGTAAATGTCGACATGTTGCTGCTGTAAGGACTAGTAATAACCACTTGTCGGTGCGTGACTGCCACTTCTCGTTATCCAATTAGCGATATAATCATTTATCATCGGCATTTAGCTGGTGTACCGTGGTCTGGGAAGTGCACCGTAATAGGCGCCGGCAAGGATGGCGTCCTCCAATCACATGGGCCAACTGGCGATACACCATTTCTACGGATTAGCTCTCCTGAGCTTAATGTTCTCCGGTAAGGACAGGCATATTGCAATGTGATGATTAAACCTACTAGGCATCCCGATCGATTTGGCGCGTGTACGTATGTGGCGCTTTTGTTGCAACATACATGCTCCTTACACTACGTACTACGCTGTGAATAATCAAATGCGTCATATGCTGGCTGAATTTCCTGGCCGATGATGATATGATCACTAGATTGGTAAAGATGCAGTGTTGCACCACGCGTGGACGACTTTTTCACGTATACCTCCCGCGCCTGTTGCAAGTGATAACGTGCGTCACTCTCAAGAGCAAGCTCACCCGGTTCTGGTGCTTTGCCACCCTGCCTACTTACATATGCAGCCGTGGCCTCCGGGGAGAATGCGGTCGCGTTGCAGTGGAGCAGTCGGCATCTTCTAACGAAATCTATCGGGGGCGACTTCCCGTTTTGCAAGTGAGTGTTTGAGTGTTTGTACCGCAGCTTTGGTTGATATCGTTTGGGAGATGTGAGCGAGGTGTAACAATTTGTCGCATCTGTTGCTCAGTATCCTAATTCAGCATGATATGGCGGCACCAACCCACACGACTACTTCGTGCAGGTGTACGACTTACAACTGTCTCTCCTCGCCGTACAGACTGTCATACACGGGCGCGTACCCGGTGAGTGGTCCAGATAGAGCCCTCCCATCATTTGCCTTTCGTGTCGCATGCCAGGCACCATGACTCCACTGCTTGAACGCCGCTGCCTCCAGCTCACGTAGTTGCTTGTTTGAGGTGGGATCCATCTTTCACTCGCAAGCTCAGCTGTCCTTCTACGTGTTTGGTGGCTCAAGACCATGTGTTTGCGACCCCTTCGCCTGCGCACCACGCGCTTGTTCGCCTGCTGCAGGTAATGGCCGGCACGAGGCACTGCTTCATGGTTCGACATGTGGGTTGCACCACGAACACGACGTGCTGTGCGGCTTTGCAACGCAACGTGCACAAGATATCCTTTTCCGTTGGTACGTGGACAGCTGTTCACGGGCTGGGGACTGGACGCGGTGGTGCCAGCGTGTTTGTGTAGCCAGGGAGTTGGTGGATGGGCAAGGGCAAGGAAAGGGATGAAACCATGAATCCGCCCTCCGCATTCCGCGTGCACACTTGGACGAGATTCCACAAAACATTGGCCGATTCCTACTACGGGCCTGATGCGTGCGCACGTATGCACGAAACGCATGCACGCGCACAGGTGCGGGATGTTTGAAGCCGGTCACGAGTCAGGTGGAGATCAACGGCCGCAAGTGGTCCAGCTGGTCCACCGTGTTCACGAAGCGGGGAACGGATACAAACGGTACGCAAGCGCCCCTAATTCCGGGATGTAACAGGACAAGGTTCCTTACCTATGGCTAGCGTATGTCCATATGGACCTAGGGCTGGGTAGGTCGTGGAGAATATTCCGCGACGCATTTCTGGACCACTCCGCAAGGGGACCAAGTACCCACGCACTTCCGTCTCCCGTCTTGCAGGTACGGTAGTGTTCGGATACGATGTCCGTATCTACGACATGCAATTCAATGCCACCACGTTTCCCGGCACTTCCATCTGCATGACAACCAAGGAGCCCTGCGCCAGCATCCAGCAGCTGTGCGGCACCACGACAGGAACGTGCAAGTGAGTACGGAGAGAGACTTGCACGGGTCGAGCTCGCCTAGCTGGGGACGGCCCGGTCCTGGTTTGTGCTGGTGCGTGACACCGTTGTGCACCTGCTTACCTGTTTGCTCGCAGATACGCTGTATTTGACAGCCATAACGCCAGTCGATGCTGCCCAGTCTGTACGGTGGCACCGCTCCCACCACCGGCGCCGCTGTCGCCCGAGCCACCGTCACCGATGGTGCCGCCCCCTCCCCCTCCACCTCCCCCTCCACCTCCCCCGCCCCCTCCCCCTCCATCTCCCCCGACCCCTCCACCTCCACCTCCCCCACCCCCACCCCCGCCGACACCCATCTGTCGCACCTGCGCTGTCATTACGATTCAGCCCCCATCCAACATCGCCAGGCCTGTCAACACCTTCTTCTCCAGCCCCGAGAACTGCAGTCGGACATCAAGCATCATTATTTCAAACTTCACCGCCGCGCTAGAGGCCGCTGGCGTCTCAATCCGGCAACCGTTTACCTGGAATTGCACCGGAAACTACGAGCCCGGCCAGTCAATTCTGCCGCGGCTCTTCGTGTGCGGCTTATACGATGTTCCAGCCAGCCGCACTGTCTTGGAGGAGGCCCTGCGCAACGTGACGGCGAGCTGGGTTGCATTTGTAATAGGCACACCCGTGGTTCTCGGACAGAAGGACCGTGCTGAATGCCCTGTGGGTCTTGAGGGATACGCTTTCGAAGGCGCGTTGGATTCGGGGATTAACGCTGACCCCCGGTGCCCCTATGGTTCCTCGGTAATAAACTGTACCGAACGGTATGCGCCTTTTCCCCCGTCGCCATTGCCACCGCTACCGCCGCCATCGCCGGTGCCTGTGAAGGTGGGTTGCGCAGCAGCACGGCTAGCCTAGCTATACTTAACGCGCCTGATGACCATAGGCGTTCCCTATGATTGGCATCGTGATTGAGCATGATATGCATGGCACGCAAGCAGGCCTTAGCACTGCGTCCTTGATTCATGCACAACGCCAAAACCAACCGACAGCTGTCCTCAGAGCATCTTCATGCCGCCACGCCAGAACCCTTTGAGCTCATTTGGTCTTCATACCCGCGCCATGCCCGTGTCTGTTTTGGACTGCAGACGCACAACTGCTCCCAGGCCACCAAAAATGTGCCTTATTACCTCGACAAGATCGAGACATACAACACCACGGACAGGAGCGGGCAACGGCTGGTCGCTATGTGTACAACGATTCAAGAGATGGACTGCAATGACGACGCCAAATGTTGCGGCATGGATGCGGCCAAGGTGAGTGAGTGAGTGAGTGGGTCTGGCAGGACGCGTACTGGTACAGCTACCACCGATAAAGATAGCTTTTCACGAACTGGCTGGAGATGTAGGTCAGTCATAAGCATGATGATCATTGGCGAGGGCGTCGGACCTTCGCTTGTAGTACTCCGTCCAATAGTGCCAGCCGTACCAGACGACCTGCTGCCGGATGTCATGCTCCGATACATATCATGAGGAGATGCCAATCAACCTACTGAAAGCACGACGCTCCTTATCCCACCCATCCTCATCCTGGCAGGTTGAGGTCATTATGAAGCCCTCATGCCAGGATGCCCTCCGTAGCATCACCGTCAACGGAAAGGAAATTGCTTACAGCCGAAGCTTCTACACGGGCTTTACATCGCTCAAGTTTGTGAAGCTGTTGGCGTGAGTGGCGGCGGCAGGGGCATTTCAAAGCGTTCGTTCGTTGGCCATGCTGGCTCGAAATGGTGGGGTAACCGACCCACCCAACACATAGCCAGCGGGATTCCCGTTCCGTATCGTATCGTATCGTACAAGGTACTGCAGCAGCAGGCGGTAATGTGCTCAGCTTGCTAAGGGCGGGTGTTTGGGGCCGCCAACCCTAGCTACCTCGGTACTTGTGGCGAGCAGAAGTTTGAGCCGTAGTCGCGATCCGTAGTTGTGGCAGCTGCCATAATGGTTAGGAGTGTGTGCCGGTCGTTCCGATGGTTGGACCCTTGGCACTGCTTTAGCTCTGCCATCGTGCATGGTCACAGACAGGCAGCCGAGGGCCCGTCAGCTTGCCCGCCAGCAAGATCAGCGTAGCATTGCTAACACCGCTGACGTGCGTTCAACCCGCCCTCATTCTTTTCCTATCTGCCTTCCTCGTTCCCTAGCCAGCTAACTCCGCCGCCTGCCCTTCTGATGTCCCTCCCGCATGCGGCCCCTGTCGTCACGCAGCTTGGGCGACCCCGCAGCCATGCGACTTTGCTGGTAAGAGCTGATGGCCTTCAACGCCTAGCTTGCCCGCGAAACACCTATCGATCTGCCGTCAAGAACCCAGCTCTTGCTTGTCCGAAAAATAACGCTGCACGCTCTGAGCGCATAAAACGTAGCAGATATCGTGCAGCTAACTCAGTGGTCCTCTGAGTCGGGTGTTGGTGCGCATGCACACCAAGACCGGTACACATGCGGGCATGTGTTTGCACGCGTGGGACGTCCAATATGCGTGTGGCGTTGTCTAAGGTCGCAACTTAAAGTAGTGTATCTTGCTTGCGTATCGAGCTGCGCCCTGCTGTCTTGTCGCGTCCTGCGCCCTCCACCCGCTACCTGCAACAGGTACGCCTCGCCTGGACCATGCGCTAGCCCTGGGGGCTTCTGCTACAACAATCGGTGCCAGGTGGGTGGGTGGGTGGGTCGGAAGGTATGCTCTGGGTGGAACGGCGTTGGCACAGACATGTTGACATCACCTGTTAATACTGGAAGGCATCCTTGCTGTATTCCGACGCTGGACGCTACAAGGTGCCGGGTTCTCAGCCTGCTGGACTGTGTGTGTATGCTTGTTACACTCCGGTTGCGTCACCCAGAGATTAATTAGTCCATACCAGAGGCCTAAGAGCCACAAGGTTATGCCATGTGTGAACGAGACCGCATGTTAGCGATAGTAGCGATGATAGACTTCGCAACTACTGTTCAAGGCGATGGCTAGGTCACACACAAAAGTGCTGGGTCGGCTCATGGCTGGGCTAACTGAGGCAGATGTAACTTAGGCACGGCACCAGCCAGTTGTTGAATTCGCACGCACGTCCTGCCATGTTTCCGTCCGGGAATAATGAAGTGATGGATGTGTACCGGCATGCAGCCGCAAACTCAGGAACCCTCGATCCTCGTGCATGCCCTCCAAACCTAATATGACCGTATATATGTATGTCACTACCCACTGATGGCGCGCAGGCAAGCATCTTCTCATCGGACAACAAGTGCTGTCCTACCTACATGCTCTAGACATGTAGACACGGTTCCCACCAGAGGACTAGGGCCTGCTGGTTCCGACAGCCATGCCTGCATCGTTTCGCAGCCCCACCCCCTTCATATATTCATGAAACGAACCAAGCAAGTAATTTTGTAAATTCATGGCAGTACGGCCACAACATTTTGTGTGCCAGTAGGGCAGCAGGCTTAGTTAGGCACGTTATTGCGTTAGGTAGGTACGTGTTATTGCGCAGGCATTGTGTTGGGCAGGTATTGCAGCAGGGTTACAGGTTACAGGCAGGATGTAGGATGGGTACATACAGCGCAGGTCATTAGGTCACATATAGCATTGCAGTCGCCAGGCGGCATTTGTGTCTCGGCAGGTTATTAGGTAGCACAGGTGAACTTCCCGCTTGGCAGTAGTGGGGAGTACATGCCCCTGGCTCCGTCGGCCCATGCAAACAACGGAATTCCAAAAGTGGGCCGCAGGTGTTGCTTGCATGTTGGATAGATTCGTAAATACCTAGGTTTGCATGTTTTGTTTGTTCAGTTGTTTGGTTGGATGGTTGGTTAACCAGGTTATCATTTCCCCCTGGATCTTGATCCTTGAGGTGCAGCGGGTCCTGTCATGTTCAGGAGCTAAACTCGCATGATAGGTGGTGAGACACACAAGCAACAGTAGCTGCTTTTTCTTTTTTGGGGGAAAGTACACGCAGTTGGTTGTTGCCGACCTGATGTCGCCGACCTGTTCGAGTACTTGAAATCTGTGGTTATGTTGGGTGGCTGCAGATGGCTGTGTGGGCAAACTATTTGCCGTTTCTCGGCCGCACGAGGGTTATTGGGTCAGGGGCACGCGAACCTACCGTCGGCCCCCTCCGACGTAGCAGCCGTTGTAAGTCGTGACGATCAGCCTGATCGATCAATCCTACTGACCTCCCTGGATGCATACAGTCATATTAATCCTACTGACCTCCGATGCATACAGTCGCATGTGATGCAATCAGGATAGTGTCGATGACTGAAACTATCCGGTAACTGGGCCCCCGCGTACGTGCTCGGGGTATTAGCTCGGGGGCCTATCATCGCCCTCGCGTGCTGTTGCGGTGCCACACGTATTGCCCGGTCAGCCGGCAGCGGGCTGGTGTACCACCTGCAGTCACCCTGCAACATGGTGTCGCACATGTTTGAGGCAACTAAAACCTCATAGTGACGGCATTAGGAGTGCAACCAACCCACCGGATTACCTGTGCTGTCCGCCCCCAAATACCCTGAAGGTAGGCCAGCCGAGACCCATTGAGGCTCAAAGACGAGCGCTGCACCACGGCCCGGACTGACCCTCAATGAAACAGATTGCGCCTGAAACTATCCTGCAATTAGGCCCCCGCGCATTAGCTGCACCGGGGTAATAGCTCGGGGTCTATACTCGCTCTCGCATGCTGCTGCGGTGTCACAAGTGCTTGTGGCGGTGTTTGATGATCTGCTGGTCCACGATTTGAGAGATTTCTCCTCGCAATCTCTCACCCATTGTCCGAGGCCCTGTGGAAACTAGCTAGCTAGAATGAGAGAGATGCATCTCGACAAGAGTCGAACATTGGTGAAGATCTGAAGCGTTTTGCGTCAGTCGAACGGGGACGTCTTCAGCTGCCCTCGAGACGTACTGGCGGCAACACAGCCCATGCGGGCAGGTAGGGGAGGTAGCGGTGTTTGGGGCTGCGGGTCTGACGGCGCTGGGAGAATTCAGTTGCTGGCTGTGAATCTAAATCGTCGATGGATGTTTTTGTCAGTCGGTGACCAGGAGAGATTGCGAAAGAGGCAATGTTCGTACAAGTAGACGACTCGGATGTCCTCACGGGCCTTACTCCCACCTCCCCATTCGGGTCGCCTGTCCCCGAGATTGATTTCACCCAACCCCGCCAAACGGCAACCCCCCGTGCAGTCCTGTCCTGCTACCTCCTAATCCGTCTACACTCTACCCGGGGCTGCCCAGGGCATGACTCCTCCGTGCGGAACCTCCCTAAGCCACCAACGCTGATCATGAAGTCAACCTTTCCCCTAACCCGTTGACCTGTGCTCGGTGTCCAGGGCTATAACCCTCAAGGGGACCGCTGCAGCACGTGCATGCTCAATCATCCCTCCCTGCCGTCGCTGCCGCCGGGCCCACCGCTTCCGCATCCACTCTCTCCTCTTTCACCCCTCCTCGCCAACCTCCTGGCCACCGCCTTCCTCCGGCAGCAGCAGCCGCGGCTGCTGCTTCTGCTGTTGTTGCAGTCGCCGCCGCTGCCTCTTCGACAGCTGCGCCCGCACCCCGCCAGTCCTCCTGCCGGCACTGCTGCTTCCACAGACCGGCCTAGTAACCCCCTCCTCATTCCCCCCTCCGCCGCGGCCATATACGTCATCTTCGTCGTACTCGTCCACAGCGCTTTCGCCCTCATCCTCCAAAGAGTACTGTCGTTCCATTCGTTGTCTGACCCGTGGGTCGGCCTGCAGCTGCAGCTTGGCGAGTGCCCGCATGAGGGAAGCCTGCCACTGGTCCATGACCATCAGGTTGCTAATCTCGCCCTGTAGAATGCCCGCCTGCGTACCGCACAGATAGATAAGGCAAAACTTGCAAAGTGTTACACAACTTTGATTAATCCTTGCAAGCCGGTGGTGTGTTGGGTGCGTTATTCAAAATGTCGAGATGCCTTCCGACATATTAAAATTCTTTTTAGATTCTGTAGGTTTGAAGGGAGTTGCTGTGTGTCTTTTGCAATTTTTAAGTTCATGTGATTATGGCACTAAGGAACATGGCACACTTGCGTCTCTCTAATTTTTTCAAATAGGATAGCATTTGCATTTTTGGTTAAACGTCACATCCTTCTTTCCTTCCTTGCAACTTCCCTCGCCCCCCTCACCCGCCCCATATCTACACCTGCACGGCGGCCCCTAGCGCCACCGCCTCGTCTGGGTCCAGTGCCGCCTGAAGCGGTTGTAATCCAGTCATGTTGGAGAGGAACCGCCCTACGGCGGCCATGCGAGTGGCGCCGCCCACGAGCAGAACAGAGCTCAGGGGGGCCCGCTTTCGGGGCCGAATCTCGGGCTGCATCTGCAAAATGAGAGCAGAAAAAAACGGAAAAGCATGAAAATGGAAATGAACGGACAGAAAAATGAAAAGGCAAACCAAGAGAAGAGAGAGGGAGAGAGAGTGTGTGAGGGCAAAATTACCTGGAGAAGCCTGGAGTCTGGAGCCTAGCTACAGTGCAGGTGTAGGGACAACGAGTAAGTGGCGAAAGTAAGGAAGATAGCGGTTGCAAAGCATTACTCCGGAAGCATTAATATCCACCCACCGGCGGGCCATCAGAGCATCAGGCAAACATACATACCGACAAATATGCGGGCAGGAGGGCCGATGGCCGGTCGCAGTCCCCTCCGAGTCCCCTCCCTCCGGCTGCACTCACCGCCTGTAACTTCCAGCTGGGCACTCCCCGGTTTCGGAGCTGCTCTTTGAGCGCCTCGTGTCCGCCAAGCACCTCGTTGAGGTCCACACCCGCCTGCCAGCAGGCCTGAACGGCTCGGAAGGGGCCACCCGGGTGAAGGAAGAAAGTGAGGGAGAGAACGGGCGAGAGAGAGGGCGGGAGAGAGGGCGGGAGAGGGAAGGAGAGGTGTTGTTGCTGTTGTTGTCGTTGTTGATGGGGTGTTACACTGTGGGCGGCTCGCCCGAGAAAGGACGAGCACCGGGGGCCCTGACCGGGGGCCGAAACACAGTGCAGGGATGGGCGCGCGGCTCTACGTCCGTCTGTTCCTCCGCGCGCGCCTCACTCCCTCACTCACGCCAACCGGGACACTCTCCCAGCCCCTGGCTAGGCATCACAGCGGCGCAGAAGACTGCGAACCGAACTGTTGTTGTTGTTATTGGTGGTGGTGGTGGTGGTGGTGTTGGGTGGTGTTGGGTGGTGTTGGGTGGTGTTGGGTGGGGGAGAGAAAGAGACCGAGTCCTGGTGACTCCGGGGGTCTCAGTCTGGTGACAGTGTCGGCATCACCATCACCATCGCCACCGGCATCGGCATCGAGCAGGTGACAGGACCGTAACAGCAATTTTAACGATAGCCACGATACGTTGCTACGGCCTAAAACTGCGCCGCAACTGTGCCCCGTGGCCATCACCACCTCCTCCGGGGCGGCCGCCACATCAGCCTCATCCAAATAACCGATGAATAACACACACGAATTAGTAGATTTGTGCCGTAAAAATGCATGTACGGCCTCACCTGGTCCAGCGGCAACCGGCACCGCCGCCACAGATCCTGAGTCAGCTCGTCCAATTGTGTACGGCTAAGGCGCACCTCCAGTGGGCCCCCCCCGGGACCTCCGACCGGCATCCTGTTTTTCCAGATAACACCAATATGATATCATGAGACAATATAATATATATGATAAGTGAGAACGATGGGTGATGAGATGAACTAGGGAGGAAATGTGGACTGGGGCATGGGCGACTAAAGCAGCAGCGGATCTACGAGAAGAGATCTAGTACGGCAGTACGGAAAGAAATCAAACGTCACCTCAGCACAACTTCGTCGTTGTCGCTAAGGGAGTGTTTGGCCGTCTGCGCCAGGGCGCGTAGGTTAGCTCGAAGGCGGGGGTCGGAGGATGGGTCGAGACCCGCGGGTCGAAGGTGGGTCCGTTCCAGCCAGCTCACGATGGCCTCGTCCCAGTCATCGCCCCCCAGGTAGGCGTCACCCCCTGGAGGGGGTTGGGGGGTTGGGGGCAACAGGTGGTTGGGACCAACTGAACCACCAACCACATCGCCGTACCATATCGTACTACCGAACACCATATATCGTATCAGGCTCAAACGGAGCCGGCAGTTTAGCACATCAACATCAACGTTTATAACAACATCAACGTTTATAACAACAACAACGACCTGGTATTCGGACTAACAATGCCAAATTCATGGGATGCTCTTCCTCACACCGCGGATATATGGATGTATGGATGTATGGATGTATGGTGCCCACCTGTCGACAGCACCTCTACAGTGCCGTTGCCAACCTCCAGCAAGCTCACATCATACGTGCCGCCGCCCAAATCGAACACCAGTACGACAGAATCCGTACGGAGATCCAGGCCGTACGCCAGTGCCGCAGCCACCGGCTCCCGCAGCAATCGCACCGTCTCCAGCCCCGCCAGCTTTCCTGTGTGTGTGTGTGTGTGTCTCTCTCTGTGTCTGTGTGTATTTGTTTGTTACATATCGATCCGAGCCTGACACTGGCCAGGGGGGCACCCAAGCATACCCGTGTGTGCGTGTGTGTTTGTTTGTCTGTCTGTGTGTGTGCGTGTGTGCGCGCGTGTTTGTTTGTCTGTGTGTGTATGCGTGTGTGTGTGCGTGTTGCGCGTGTGTGTGTGTGTGTTTTGCGCCACCCTCCGCCCACCCAACAACCGACAGGCGGTGGCAGCTCTACCGCTTGATCCGTCCCTCGAACGGCTGGCTGGGTAAAAGCCACCGTACGGCCCTAACCGCTCCTCCGCACTCTCACTCGCACCCCCACATGTCGTACACGACTTTAGGGTTTTACGACGCCCCTCGCAGGTGCAGGCAGTCATCCGCACTCGCACCCCCACCCCCACCTGCTGAGATGGTGGCTTCCCGCTGCCGTTCATCGAAGTACGCGGGTACGGCAATGACTGCCTTAGTCACCTTGCCCCGGGTGTAGGCGGCCGCATCAGACACCAGCTGCGACACCACTTGGGCGCTGATCTGGCAAACAAAGATGCCGAGCAGCAGCAGGGGCAGTAGCAGAACAGCAGCAGTAGCAGTCACAGTAGTAGCAAACAGCAGCAGCAGTGGCAGTGGCAGTAGCAGCAGCAGTCGCAATAGTAGCAACAGCAGCAGCAGCAGTGGCAGTAGCAGCAGCAGCAGTCGCAGTAGTAGCAAACAGCAGCAGCAGTGGCAGTAGCAGCAGCAGTCGCAGTAGTAGCAACAGCAGCAGCAGTGGCAGTAGCAACGGCGGCAGTAGCAGTCGCAATAGTAGCAACAGCAGCAGTAACAGTGGCAGTAGCAGCAGCAGCAGCAGCAGGAACAGCAGTAGCAGGAAAAGCAATGGGAAGAGGGTTTAGACGGGCCGCGAGATACCACCATCGGCAATGCCCTCGTCACGGCTCCGAAGACCATCAAAACACACACACACGCAGTCGACCCAGCCTGGTCGTGTAACACCAGTACACCATCCGCAGGCGCGGTCTGTAATACACACATACGTACATACAGACAGAACACAATTGTATCACACAGGGGCCAGTGTATGTGTGCGGCGTGGATTACCAAAGCGAAGCCACACGCAAAAAGCGAAGCCACACGCAAAAAGCGAAGCCACACGCAAAAAGCGAAGCCACACGCAAAAAGCGAAGCCACACGGCCCCGTTGACGAAGGGGAGCTGTCGCACCTCCTCGGGGTAGAGGTACCCTGGCCCCACGCTGGGGCACTCCACAACTAAAGCGCCCTCCTCATCGCGGGATACCTAGGGTGCGGGTGTGTAGGGAGCGGGTAGGGGTGTGGGTGCGGGTGTGTAGGGAGCGGGTAGGGGTGTGGGTGCGGGTGTGTAGGGAGCGGGTAGGGGTGTGGGTGCGGGTGTGTAGGGAGCGGGTAGGGGTGTGGGTGCGGGTGTGTAGGGAGCGGGTAGGGGTGTGGGTGCGGGTGTGTAGGGAGCGGGTAGGGGTGCGGGTGTGGGTGTGTAGGGAGCGGGTAGGGGTGCGGGTGTGGGTGTGTAGGGAGCGGGTAGGGGTGTGGGTGTGGGTGTGTAGGGAGCGGGTAGGGGTGCGGGTGTGGGTGTGTAGGGAGCGGGTAGGGGTGTGGGTGTGCGTGTGCAAGGAGCGGGTAGGGGTATCGGAAGCGGGATTACATAGTCGTATGCAAGAAGCAAAGAGGTTGGAAAGAGAGAGGCGGAAAGTGGGCAAGGAGATGGTCTGTTAGTGGTTGCTTGGTAAGCTGGTTACTTGGGTTTTGGAGGAGAAAATAAGGGGGAAAAAGGGGGAGGGACGCGCACGGCGGGTGTACACCGGTGTACGAAGTGATTTTGGGGAATTATTAACGGTCGCAAAGAATTTCGGTAGGGGCTCTCCAATGCCCCTACTAGACATGCTCTCCCCCTCACTCGCCCCGTAAGTACGGCCCAGCCACGCCACATACACACACACCCCGCCTTGTCCCGCCTTGCTATGAGCCCCAACATTCACTGGTCGAGGTGGACAAACATACGTACGCGTATACACGTACACGCCACATCCAGCAGCTCGGCCTTGTGCTGGTCTTCACGTGCTTTCACACGTCACGTACCTTGTACGGCAGCCTCGTGATCTCTTCCTGTACGGCAGGATCGTCGTACTGCCGACCTATGAGTCGTTTGACGCTGTAGTAGGTGGTCTGCGGGTGCAGTACTGCCTGCCGCTGGGCTCGGCGGCCAACAACCACCTCCCCTGGTATTAAATGCCCGCCCGCCATCGTAGGGTCACAAGACAGGGCCAACGAACCAAACGAGTTTCAAATCCCCGTCCAGGGGTTTGGAGGTGTAGAGAAGTACGGGCGTGACGGGGAGGTGAGGGTGGGATGGGAAGCAGGGATGAAGAGCGTGTGTCGCATTGTGAGTGGTGCTCTGTTGGTTGTGATGGTGGGGATTACGGATTTCAGGACATAAGGTGACAAAAAGTGCTAAGGAGAGAACTACATGATATGCAAATAGAGAGTAGGAGCCACAAGCTGGCGTGATTGGTGCTGTGGAGGGGACGGGACAAAAGCGGTGAAGGAAGGGTTTTAATGGACAATTCTCGCTCACCATCCTTCAGTACACCGACAACGGAGGGCGTGATAGTCTCGCCATCCGCGTTAGGAATGCATTTGGGTTTTCCTCCCTCGATGTATGCCACCGCTGAGTTAGTCGTCCCCAAGTCGATCCCGACAACGACCTCGCGCTGGAAATCGCGGAGCTTGGCATGGACGGCAAGCAAACCCCTGCGGCCCGATTGCCGCGGTAGATACCGAGGGCAAGAAAGCCGTCCATCGGAGTTTATACTGTGCTGATGCACGCTGCAGATGTGGCGTTGCATGTCCGAGCATTCAACGGGCCGAGCTACCGGGCAGAATTTTGAAAAAACGTTATTGATGTATATTTTATGCAGTGGGATATGTAGTTTCACAAACTGGCCGCCGAGCTTTCATTTGGACTGCACTCTCTTCGCCGTCAACAACTGCTGTAGGGCCGAATTATGCCAACGTTTGTCCTTGATGAACTCCGTTATTAGAGCAGCCAATCCGGAGCAAATGTTACGCAATCAAGGCTACTTGCAATCAATCACAAGTGCAATGGCTAACCGATCACGGTTGGGTTCAACGGTTCATGGAAACGGCCAGGCAACCCTTCCGAGAGGATTTCACAGAACCAACACATGCCATAGCTGTGTAAATGGTGGTGAGATAGCTAGGCGAGCTAAGCTGAAGTCGGCGAGAGTACGTCTATCATCCGCTTTGGTGTTGTCTGAAGTTATGGTGTAAATTTGCAATCAGTTTCTTGATAACTAATTGTGACAAAAAATGGTCCGAAACGTCGTATTGGCTGCGATTCAGTTCGCTTGTTCGGAGGACAAGCAAGCGAATGCTGTAAGGTTACCGTTGCTCCTCCTGATCGGCAAGACGTTTTAGGCATGACTTCACGCTCGAGCCGCTGTTGTGCTATCGTGCAGGACAAAGCGGAATACCTCGTGCGCCAGGCCGCGGCAGCTGGCGCACAAATCATTCTGCTGCAGGCAAGCCCGCTCGGTGCCCGGCGTCCGCTTGGGGCTGTGTCCATATGTATGTCACGCAGCTCGCACTACAGGCCGTACTTTGCCACCATGCAATAGGTGGAAAGTGCCGTTGAATTGTTTGTGTGACCCATGGGCCCATGGCAACGTGCTCGCGACGAGTAGGACGGAACCCCGAACAAAAAGGAAGAACTGAAGAAGAAAAAACTTTCCTGCTGCTGCTCCAGTCACGCGCTAAACAGTCCCAGAAAACAACGCATGAATTAGCCGACAGCGCTCACCCGCTTGGATTTGCGCTACCGCACGCCCCGCCACGCTGCCACGGCGCGCTGGTTTAACCTCCTGTCTTTCCGGGCTCAAGCACAGCTCCGGCATATCCAATTTAGCCGAGTTTAAACTAACCCGAGTAACAAGAACTCCAATAGCACTAAGAATCACACTACAAACAACGCGAATCAATTTCAGGGCCGGCTCCTCCTCCTCCCTCCCTCCCCCCCTCCCTCCCACTGCATACCGTTCCAGGAGCTTTTCGAGCGGCAGTACTGGTGCCAAGTCCAGCAGAAGGTACGAGGTTTGAAGCGCGCGCATCATGTCTTGCTGCGATTGTGTGTGTTTGTGCATGTGTGCGTATGTGTATATGTGTGTGGGGGGGCCCCCTGGGGGCTTAATTGATAGCTGCTGGTATTCTTGGTCTGTGGCCATTTCTGCTGCTGCTGGCTTTGTATGAATGACGTCAATTTGCTTACATGGGCTACACATTGGTGCTTACGTCAACTTGGATCCCCGGTCGGTGGTAGTGGTGCCCTTGCAGCCCGTAGAGCCCCCTGCCGCATCAATCTGACAGGACAGAGCAGAGGCCGGAAGGCGGGTTATTCCTCTGCCTGCCTGCCAACTGCTGCTGCTGCTGCTGCTGATAGTTTTAATTGGACGAATGATTGGCATTTCAGTGGCTTTGCTACTGTTGCTACTGCTGCTGCTGTTGCTGACGCTCTTCTTCCTGCGTCACCTACTTCCAATGTCCTTAAGTCCACAGCCACCACGTTGTGGCGGGCAGACGCTGCTAGATGATGCGTCCACCCCTCCCAACTTACAAACAGGTCCCTGAGGGAGGGGGCCCTGAGGAAGGGGGCTCTGACACACCCCTTTCGAATCTGCACCGTGCTGGTACTGCGCTAGTATCAGGACGTTCGTTGGTGTGTCGTGCGGCTGACGCTGCTTGCATCCCTCGATCCTCCCATCCCATCTGATTTCCCTCCCCTCCCCCGCAACCCCGCAACCCCAACACGGCTCCCCGCCCTTCCCCTCCCCCCCGACCCGACCCGACCCGACCCGACCCGACCCGACACCAGGAGTATTTCTCATGGGCGGCTCCCTTCGAGGGCAACCCCCTGGTCTCCCGCTTCGCCAAGCTGGCTTCCGAGCTGCGTGTGGTGCTGCCTGGTGCGGTTGGGACGACGGAAGCACCCGCTGTGGGCTGCGGGGTTGGGGGGCCCTACATTTAACTACATATACAATATATGCATAACATACGTAACACATGTACATGTATGTAGTACTTGTGTTGTGTGTATGTGTGTGTATGTAGTACTTGTCAGGGAATTGCAGCTGTGGTGGTTTTAAGTGCTTGAAGGTTGAAGATGTACACGGTGAAAGGCTGCATGCATGCATCCATGTTGTCGTGCAGGAGTACTTCGTACATAGATGGAGCCTTTCACCGCATGGATGCATACATACATACATACATACATACATACATACATACATACATACATACATACATACATACATACATACATACATACATACATACATACATACATACATACATACATACATACATACATACATACATACCACGGGACGCAGGCGTATACAAACAAACCGCTTGCAGCAGTCCTCAGCCCCGACGCCAAGATATCCCAGCAAGTCCATTCTGACTGTGGGATGCATTATCGCACTGCCGTACTGCCGTACTGCACAGTACCTTTTTTCGAGCGCGCCAACAACGCCTATTTCAACAGCGTGGCCGTGGTGGATGCTGACGGCTCCGTACTGGGGCTGTACCGCAAATCCCACATCCCCGACGGACCGGGGTGAGTGGCGGCTGGTTGGGGGGCTGGGGTCTGACTTGTCCGGGTGCGGAGGATTGAGGGGATGTGTTTTATGAGGCAAGGAGGCGGGAGGTGGACGCCTGGGAATTGCATACATTTGGATGTTTCTACGTGTTGATTAACTTGTGGCTCTTGGGCTCTTGGGCCTCTGCTGGCTCGCATATGGTCACTCTTTGCACCTCTCTGGGTAACGCAACCGAGGTGTAACACACACATCTGCGGTGTATGTGGTGTATGCGTGTATGTATGTATGCATGCGTAGTGTGTATGTGTATGTGCATGTGTGTCTGGGCATTCGCGTCCCTCGATATCTCTCCACCTCTCCATCCCGCAGCCTCGCAGCCTCGCAACCCCGCAATCCCTTCATCCCGCAATCCATCCACGCATCTCATCAGGTTGCATCTGCGCACCACACGGCATGCACGGTGGCATTCGGTGGCATAGCTGTTGAATTCCGGAAAGTTGGAAAGCAAGTGCCTGCCAGTCTCACAGGTACCAGGAGAAGTTCTACTTCAACCCGGGGGACACGGGTTTCCGTGTGTTTGACACGAAGTACGGCAAGGTCGGCATCGCCATCTGTTGGGATCAGTGGTTTCCTGAGGCGGCGCGGGCTCTGGTGCTGCAGGGCGCCGAGGTGAGGCCTAGGGGGGGACCCCCCGAGGGGGCTGCGGAGTGAGGCCTGGGGGCTGCGGAGATGCTCTACCTGCGTTTTCAATGGAAGTTTGAAATGGATGGGGTATAGGGGTATTGGGAAGTCGTCCGCGCGCTGCCTTAAGCCTCAGCAGTGGCCTGTAGAGTTCCTCAACCGGCAAAGGATGTGCCAGGCCCCAGCCGTACGTACACATACACATATACATGCATTGCGCCGTAACCTCTGCCGTATTTTGCCGTGATCACAAAGGTGATCTTGTACCCTACCGCCATCGGTTCGGAGCCTCAAGACGCCGACATCAACTCATACCCCCACTGGATTCGTGCGCAACTGGTGGGTGCGGGTGCGGGTTGGGGAATGTTGTGGGTGTGTGCATGCTTGGCAATAGACATATGTGTAATGCACACTTATGTGCTGGTGAATTTAATATACGTGGGAGAAGTTGACAAGCAACAGCACTTAGGGTTTGTAAGAATTGTTTGAATTAAATGTTTTGGTGCCCTCGTGCCGCACAATCTCCTTGTCTTAATTTTTCACCGATTCCACTACGATTTGAACCTGTGACCTCAGGGCCATGCTGCCGCCAATTTGGTTCCTGTGGTGGCTTCCAACCGCATTGGCACGGAGGAGTTACCTGGTGGCAGTCCGACCAGCTACTACGGGGGCAGCTTCATAGCGGGACCGCAGGGCCAGGTGCTGGCGCAGGTGGGGTTGCGACGGTGTGCAAAATAATTTAGGAGGGCTTCAGCTCCCGTACAGTCTATCACACATGGCTGAGGCTTGAGGAGTACGCGTCACCAATACTTCGTCCCTCGGAATCCACTTTGACTAAGTAACTTGTAAGTTGTAACTAAGTAAAATAAAAGTAATGAACGAAGTTGGCTTGTAACTTGTAAGTTGTAACTAAGTAAAATAAAAGTAATGAACGAAGTTGGCTAGTGCGTTATTGAGAACTAAGGTACCGTTGAGCCACCGTTCGGCACCTCCCACATGGATTGCACCTCCCACATGGATTGCACCTCCCACATGGATTGCACCCTGCAGGTGGGTGCCGCTGAGTTGCACCACGGCAACCCCGACCCCCACCCCCAGCCGGTAGAAGGCTTTGTGACCGCCTCCATGGACCTGGACCTGGTGGCGCTGGAGCGGGCCGCGTGGGGGGTGTTCCGGGACAGGCGGCCCGAGCTGTACGGTACTCTGGCCACGCTGTCCGGTCACAAGCCTTGATGGCGATGATGATATTGACTACGTTGATGTTTATTACGATGTCAATCATGGTGGTGTGATGATGTTGTAAGGCGGTTGTAAGTAAGGCGGTTGGAGTTGGGTAGTTGTTGATGCATGGGATGGCGAAGATAATAATACAGCGAATGATGTTCCGAGCTACAGCTACAGCTGCGAACTTGGGGTTGGTTGAGGGAAAAAGTGTTTGGCGTCTCGCAGCCTGGAGTGAGTGGCTGGTATGATACGGCATATTTTTAATTGAGGGCGCTGTAGTAGCAATAGCTTGCCACACGGGAAGCACGTGGGAAACCTTGGTGCAGTTTTTAAGGGAAAAGGGAAGTCTCTCCCCGTTCCATACCCCGGTGGGCGGCATGCTGCATGTGCCGTGTACATTGACAAGGTCAGCATCAGCGACAGTGTGGTGACGGAAACTGTGGCGACACTATACGGCGGCGTTATCGCTGCAGAAGGCCTGGGCGACGTCTCTGTGGCGCGCTCGGTAATTAGTGGCAACCGTGCCCTTAACGGCAGTGGTGCGGTGTTGTACGCTACTAACGGCTTCGACTCCATGAACCTCGGGAACGACACCGCCATCAGCGGCAACACCGCACGTGATGCTGGCGGTGTTTAGTCAGGTACCGCTTCTCCGCATCTCATTGGGTGTTGGCAGTGCCATCACCAATAACAGCGTGGGGCTCACGGCCACTGGCGGTGCCGGCGTTGTTGGGGCTGGGCACCGGGGCTCATTCTTGAGCACCGGGGTTTTGGACATCACGATGACGGGGGCCGCAGTGCAGTGCACGTGTGGACCAACGGTGGAAGATTTTGAAAAACTGACCTGCAGGTTGCACCAAACGAACCGGATTGCAGCAGAATGGTGGAGACATAATTTTTCGCTTCAGCTGTTTGAGGTACCTGTGTGTGAGGGGAAGATATCAACCAGGGTCGACCTGCCTAGCTAGGGTAAGATTGCACCAAAAAAAGCACCATTGGTCTGATACACTTCGCGACAGTTAACGGTGCAGGGAAGGTATTATCTAGCAGGGGTGACCTCTGGTAGGCCGTTTCCTTCCTTGTAAATGTCGTCAAGGATTCCCAATTGCCTCTGCGTTGAAAGAAGGGTGCTAAGGGGCATACAACAGGGAGGCAACTAAAATGCTTCTTCGTAAAGTCCGCTATTATAATATCTCTAGTCATGCTATGAAAATTAGTTTTTACATTTCTGTTTTGTGGTAGCCAACCATTATTTCTGGGAAAAGTGTTTTGGGCCCTCAACTCGCAACCCCCTCGATAACGCAATAGCTGCGGCCGGCGGCGTAGTCTTAGATCATTATTGTTGCTGCCTCTGGGTCGCCCGACTTGTACGTTGCATAGTGGGGTGTGTCTAGGCAACGTGTCGTAGTGGGGTTCTCTTGCGGGTCCCCCTGGGGAGGTGAGGTCTACGCATCACGATGATCAGGGAGCTGACCGGTGTGTGCCTGTAAGGCGGATGCCTGCGTGGGCACATAATTGAAACCTCGGTACCTGGGAGCAATTTGTGGCTCCTTATTATGAGTTCCTACGCGCCATACGAACTAACACGTTTTTTTTATGATAAGGGACGCCACCTATCTTGTTGAAATGTGAGAACAATGGGCAGCCGTGGAGCAGTGGGATTGCAACTCGCAGTCTGCCATACGGTGATGACAGGCAAGCATGCAAGAAACATTACCTGCTGAGTAATAACCGTTTTCATTTGCCAAGTCGCTTGATGTAGCTACGCACCAGTACCAAAGCCCAAAGCTGCCCAAACCCTGGACAACCACAAAAAAGTTTGAATAAAAGTTTGAATAATCTCCTTGTTGCAGGTAGAGGACATGGTCATGTCTATCATCAGTTGTCTGTCAATAACTGTCAACTGTCAACTGTAAATGCGGTCGCCTCTCATCACCCCCGACCTCAGGCGGGGAACCTGTGGACCTGAGGACGCGGAGGGTCCGACACGAAGGTAGCCATATAACAAAATGCCATCAAGCAAAATACTTGAGGCAATTCGACAGACACGCGTCAACCGCACACCTCATTCTCACACCACTACATATTCCCTCTACATCTAACTTTCCCCTCTATATTCCCCCTAGATTTGAGTCCCCCCCCCCTTTCTCTCGGCACGTGATCGCGGTGATTATTTGGTATCTGCCGCCCATTGCCCCCATACGCACAAGTTCAAGCGACACAAGCGACATTGTTTCGCAACAGTATCAGCCCGCTCCGTAACTTAGCTTTGTCCACACAGCCTCTTCCCCCACCCCCAAAGTAGTTTCGTCGTGTCCCTCCCCTGCCTTTCCCCAACTGCACATCCCGCGCTGAAGCAGTATCTCTTCAGCGCAGCGTCCGGGAGCAGAAGTCCACTCCTCCGCAGCAGCAGATAGGCGCTAGTAGGGGATACCCCAGACGAGCCATCTCAGGCAAAACTCGGCGCCTTGTTCCGCCACGGCCAGCGTATACGCTCATACATAGGCACACGCACGTTCGCCGGCAATATATGTCCCGGCCCGTCATGTCAACTACCGTACGGGGCGCCGCTAGGCGGCCCTCCACTGCACCGCAGCACGTACTACCCGAAATTGAGATCGTGCCGGCGGAGGACTCTGATTGGCTTGATAACCCTGCGCCCTTCAGCCATCAGCATGGGTCAGAGACCAGGCGGTCTTATTACCGCCGCCGGTGCGTCGGCGGCGGCGGTGGCGGCGGCGGCGGCGGCGGCGGCTCTGGCTGCAGCCGCCGCGTCGCGCTCACGGGCTGGGTGCTGCTGCGACGGGCAGTGCTGCTGGCGGTAACACTGGGGGCCGTCTTAGGCTGCTACGGCGGTGTGATCCGCGTGAAGGGCCAGGAAGTAGTGCTCGACACAGACAGCGTCGGCTGCATTGCCAATAAAGCCCCCGGGCCGCCAACCAAATTAAAGGTACCATGGAGCCATGAGTACGGAAACGTTCGCGAATCTGTGTGCCTGCTTATGACTGTTTGTGTCTGTTTGTGGAGGTTTGTTGCAGGTTTGTTAGATCTGGGGATTGGGGACTTGGCGAGGAAAATCTGATGGAGTGGGTACTCTGGTAGGGGACTTAACCTTAGAGTTAAGAAACGGCGGCTGCGATTGCAGATTTAAATGGGGTCCCCGAAGTGATGTACCTGCCAAAAAATGGCAGCTTTACTTGACCGCAAGTCCGCAAGGGTTGAACCCTTAACATGCTTGGCAGCATGTGCCTTATTTAGCTGATAATAACGCCAGCTATCTCTGGAACGGAGATGCCTCGCGTAGCATTCCTGCCATTCCTGCACGACGCAGATCATTCTCTCCTTCTCCATGCGTGGTTTCTATCGTAACAAAGCCAATATACCTAACCTGCTGTGTTGTATGTGTATGTATATCCGTACAGGCGACGGCAAAGGATGGCCGAGTGTTGCTGCGCTGGGAGCCCCCGGTCGACGGTGGCGCCTGTGTCAGTGCCTACGTTGTGAACGTCATCGATCCTCTGTTCCGAAACGACTCTCCGGCGCAGGTGGGTAAATGGGATCACCTGCCAAGGGTGTTAATTGCGCCTGGAGGCCAGGCAAGTAAGCCAACATGCGTGTCCCGGCTTAAGGTAATGACTTTGTTATATTCAGGCGTTATTATTTTAAATCCCCAAAACAAAAGAAAGGCGTAAGGGGTTGGAGAGAAGGCAACGTGCACGTGCTTGATGGAAGGGAGGTATACGTAGCAGCGCGCGTGATTGCTCAATCCTTGCATGCATGGCACTTAGGGACCCTGCTCACATGGGGTTGGTTGTATAGTTTTGAAGGTTAAATGACGCCGCAAATCAAGGTGAACCACTCATTATAGTTCAAAAACACAGTGCGAGTACATTCTTGCATGATGTGCAGTGCAGCACATAGTTTCATGTCGGCATTAATGTTAGGCAGGCCGTGCATGCAGTTACGTGTGCGGAATGGACGGGGGATCTGCATGGAATCGCGACAAGGGGGACTAAGCAGCGTAACATTAACGTGGGAATCGCGACAAGGGGGACTAAGCAGCGAGAACATTAACGTGGGAATCGCGACAAGGGGGACTAAGCAGCGAGAACATTAACGTGGGATCTTGGGGGGGGCGGGTGGCCGTAAACTGGATGGCTTGGGAGGGCTGGAGTCTCCAGCCTGGAGATGTGTGGAGTGCGAAGCATAACTGGTGTGGAGCATATTACAGGACGCAGCAATGGATGTGCGTGGACAGGAGCTTTGTGACATTTTCTACACAGGGGCATGAAGGGGGATTGGAAGTGGAATCTAAGGCAGTAGGCGGACGGTGTGCGTGATGATCGACCAACCAAATTGGCCCACTGCTTCCAACCACTTCAAATTCTTGCCCCGTCTGGATCTCAAATTGCTGGGTGCGTCTCTAAGCTGGGTAGCCTTTCCTTCTATTCACTTCCTTCTAGATGTGTTATTGCCTTGCATTATGGCCCTTACAAAACTGCATCTTATGTAACACCCACCGCCGTGCGTCTGCAAGCTTCCAGCATATTCGTTAGGATAGAGGTGCCCACATGTGTCTTCGCGCATTGTTATGCACTAGTCTAGCTGGAGCTACGTTGCTGACAACACCCCACCGACTCCGGCGCCCATTTCCGCTGTGCCCGCGGGGCCCCTCCTCCCTGGACCCTTGCCCATCAAAGTCCACTTCGACCGGGGCGCGCAGCGTGGTTGTGGAGGGTCTAGACAACGGTCGCACCTACGTGTTCCAGGTCCAAGCCTACAGCACACAACTAATGACGGGTGGGATTGCGCAGGTGCGATTGCGTGCTATACATGTGTGCTACATGCTGCTGCTGTGTCGTGTGTTATAAATATGCTATTTGCGTGCGAGGTTGTGGAAGAATATGGCTCTGGTGCTGAATTGGCGGGGCAAGCAAGGCAGGCCTAAACTACAAGTTTGGTATCGTGGATGCATCCTGGGCTTCAGGGCCGTGGGTTTTTAGATCCAAACTTTGACAGTTTTCTCAAATCCTAAGGCCGAAACCCACCCGGGGACTCGTAAAAAGGAGTTAGCAGAATGATGATGAATGTTGCGGGGTGACGATGGAGCCGCATTCGGTACGACGATGGCGGTGGAACATGTTTCATTGCAGTGCAAGTAGGTCGCACTTGTAGGCCAATGTGGGGGTTTGGGATAACGAGAAAGAGGTCCCTACACATTCATTGCGAAAAGATGGAGGGAAGATGAGAAGAAAAAGGGAATAAGGGTGGTTGCCTGGTGCGGAATGCAGGGGCAGGACAAACACGTCCTTAGGACACGCCTAAGGACGTATGTCGTTTACATGGCGATAGATTACCTACCTATCCAGAAATCTGGACTTGTGTTCATGTTTCATGTCTGTCGTGGTGACGCTTTAAAGATGCCATGTCGACACGTGACAAACTGCCACCAGGCACAAAACGCCCTCTACCTCCTCCGACACACATCTGCTTATGCCGCACGCCCCTGAATGCGCATGCTCCTCGGCGGCAAAGCAGGTGACCGCCACCCCCACCGAGCTGTGCAACATGTCGGAGCCTCCGGGCAAGCCAACGAATCTGCGCGTACAGACTGGAAACGGCTGGGCGAGGTTGTGCTGGGACGGCGTGGACAACGACGCGTGTGTCGACCAGTTCAGGTAACATGCGCAAAGCCGAGTATGCAGTTGGGAAGGACCCTTGGGGTGATGTGGGCCGCGGGCGGGACCCTCGCAAAGTAAGGGTGGCATCAAGCATAAGGGTGTATGAACACTTATATAGGGTTAGGCACTACTGGTAACGCGCAACTATTGCCTCCAGGAGATCCCGGGATCGAGACCTGTCAGGGTGGAATGTCATTCCGATGGTGGAAGGTATTGTGTCCCTAGTTGGTGGACGGTGCTGACCTGGGATAAGGTTGACCTCGCGAGCCGACCAGGAATGGAGTTGGGCCGCTGATGACCCGGCAGATTCCGTTGGATGCTGGTGGTGGGTGCGGAACCTGTGCGATCCACTGAGAAGTTGACTAGGGTGACTGGATGAGGGTGCCCCGAAATACCGGGGAAGGCAGGGTTTCGCAGGGTAACTGCCACGGGCGAAGATACACCCCCCTGTTTCACACATCCCGGCTGATGCTGGCCACAGGAAGGAAGGATGTGTGCGTGTGTGTCTCTGTAATATAACACACGCGCCACCCCATCCCTCACTCCACGCCCTCAGGGTCTCCGCCGCTCTCCTCACTGGACCTGATTTCCGTACGTCATCCGATGGCAAGATCTCCCGCGGCGCCTGTGCTAACGTAAGCGGCCTCACCAACGGCGCCAAACATCGCTTCAGTGTCACCCCAGTCTCCGTCGCCCAAGGCCAAGGGGAGATGGCCACGCTCACGGCAACCGTGGGTGCCACGGCTGCAGCCCAGAACGGGTGGACATGCAAATCTTTGGACGGCTGCGCACCAAACCGGGGAGGTGAATGCGCGCATATGTGTGCATTTAGTAGTTGTCATGGGAAACAACTACTACATGACAGCTTAATTCAGCACACAACTAATTTTTGTGCGTGAACAAGAGGGATTATCACGGCTTGCTGGGGCCCTTTACGCGTGTTTGGGAACTGGAGCTCATCTAATGATGATGCAGCTGGGTCGGGGAGTGCTGAATGGGCTCACGAGATGGCGCCGCTGTAGGGCGTAGTAAGAGAGGGCCGCGGCGCGGCTGGATAGGGGATCCCACACCACCTAACCTTGGCCCATCGCATGTGCGCTGCTATGACCTCTTGGTGGGGGTTTCTGTGGCCGTCAGCTGCCTTGCTTTCTGAAGTTACATCGCTTTTCGTTCGCTGCCTTCGCTGTCTTCTTGCGAGAGCTGAGGGATGCTGCAAGTGCTGCTGCATCTGTTATTATTATTATTATTATTATTATTATTATTATTATTATTATTATTATTATTATTATTGTTATTATTATTATTATTGTTATTATTGTTATTATTATTATTATTATTATTATTATTATTATTATTATTATTATTATTATTATTATTATTGCTGCGCCCTTTTGTCGTAGCTGCCTACTGCAACTGCGCTGCGGTGGCCCGTCGTGGCGATTGCAAGGTGCCTGCCATGCTGGATGTTGACTGGGTCAACAAGCAGGTATGTGTGCGCGAGTGAGAGGCCGTTATTTCTTACATAATGAGTACTGCAAAGCTGACTAGAATAACCCCGACACAACAAAGGGCTGCGCGCCAGGGAACATGAAAGCACTGTACGCGCATGTACGCGCATTGGAGGATGCATTGCACAAAGCCAAGACCTTCCAACCCGTCTCCACACTCTTCCATCTTCCTCCTCTCATTCCAAGAAAGAAAGCTTTGGCCATTTCTCAGTGATTAATGTAAAGCTCCTATGTAAAGCGCCTTCCAGATAGGTCGCACCGACGTCCCACCACACGTTGCGTGCAAGGAATGCCCCATCGCCCAATGACTTACCACCACGTTCCAGGTCACCCAGTGGTGCTCTTCATCCTGCTCGTGCGAGCTAGGGCCCGCGCAGAGCGGTGTGCTGATGGGCCAGCCTCGTACTGGTTTTGGGGGTGCCCTTCTGGCTGGCGGCGGCAGAACCGGTGCTCTGGGAGGTGGTGCCCTCGCTGCTGGCATAGCAGCCCGCAACGGAGTTGATGGGGGGGATGGCGACAGCAACACCTCCGGCGTCGGCGGCACAACGGCATTTCCGGGAGGTGACGGCGGTGGGGTAAGCGCAGGGCCAACCGCGAGGGCGCTCCCCCTGGCGGGCGCAGTGATGGGCGGCGCCGCTGACGGCGGCATGACTGGTGCAGGCATGGGCGGGGGTGCCAGGCTGGTGCAATCTCGTGCAGGGCAGTTCATGGGCAACATGGCAGAGGACATGGTAAACAGCGGCGTGCTGGGGGAGGCGGCAGGGAAGGTGGCGCAGCAAATGGTTAGCAACCAGGTCAATTCAATGCTGCAAGCCATGTGGTCAAATGGAGCCGGCGGCGGTATGGGTGCAGCTGGTGGCCCCAATGGCGGCGGCCGCCGCCTGCAGCTGGTGTAGGATTGTATTACACTGCGACTGGTGGATGATATGTGGGTTTGGTAAACGTAGTAAAAGTTTGGTAAGGTTGTTGCCAAGCGGCAAACGCTTGATACACCTTGGACGGGGTCCCGTCTCTGTGGCGCACTAGGCCGGCATCTCACACATTCCTTCACCGTCCCATGCATCATCAGAGCTGTGTGCACATGTACGTTCTCTCAGCCGGATTATTTACACACGCTCGTATCACGGATGGAGCCCCCAGAGCCGACACAGATGAGAGGTTGGAGAAGCTCGGCTGTCGCCGGGTTGCCTTGCGGGCCCAGTAGCTCCTCACTCTTAACTCTACTTCCCTTGCTTGGGGCTTTCCATGCCAGAGAACGAGACGGGGGCGGGGAATTAAGGTGCTTGGATCGATTTCCAGCAGGCGAGCTGTTCCTCTGCGCAGATAAGTGATCTAGTATGGTGGTGTAGGGGCGAGATACTTGCGATGGCCGTGTGCTGACGTGTCCTGCTGCTGCTGGTGTGCATGTGTCTTTCCGTTTGTCCTCCTTGGGGTTACTTTATTTGGAATTTGTTTTGTTTTCGTAACGTGTTTTTTTCTGACTCATGCCCAGATATGAGTGCTGGAGGCCACTGGCCTGCTTAAGCAAGGCAGGGCGAGGCCGCCTGCTTCTGGCCTGCATTACGGAGGCCAGGGGAGGTCGTGCATCACACCGGCCTACCTCCGTGCAGATCTGGGAGTGAAATCACAATAAAGCATGCAAATGTTGGATTCGATGCCACGCATAAATGGTCTGGATGCTGGTAGGAAGTGCTTTTGCAAATCGCCTGCGAGTTTCGTCGTGCGATGTGGCAACAGCTTCTCCGTTTGACCGCGTGCATGCGCAGCCATATGATAAGGTTTGACTACCATTTTATTTACTATGGCTGCACATCTGATTAATCGCCTAAACGTTGCCTTAAGTATTTGCGGTCCGTCGTTTAGTTAGGGCCAGATGTCGTATGGGGGCCCACATCGGTTCAATAAAGTAGACTCTGCTAAATGTAAACTGCAACCCTGGTGATGGTTAATTCGTTTGCAGCATGCAAATCTCTAACAGTACGAAGCAGTAGTGAATAACGTCAAATGTTCCACGTCCCAAAGCAGCTTAGTATGGTGAACGCGCACAGGTTTGAAAGGATATAAATATACTTCTAGAATGTCATATAAGGCGTCGTAACATAATGCATGGCCGTTGGTGCTAACCCTAAGCCACCATGTGCACGAATATGGCACAATAACTTTTACCTCAGATTCCCAATTTGGGGGAAAAAATTTGCAGTGTCATATTCTAGTGAGGCAACCGTCAGTGCTGCGCCCAGCGGTTCAACCCTGCCAAATCCTGCCCAACAATCCTTAACAATAATGTTCCCGGCACGCAAAAGCTGCCCAACCAGCAGCTCGATTCATAATACCAGAATCTTTTGTGGAATAGTGTCAGCTTCGGTTCAAGTCCAGTCAGTCTCTTTTTGCACTGGTTTTAGGACAAGCCGTACGATCTGGACAACTTGTCCGTTTATGTCTCCATAAAGCTCCTGCTGAGAGCTGAGTAAGTTATCCGCCTAATTACGTGTAACAAATCGTGCTCAGGTTGCTTCGCTGAATGTGCATCACGCAAGATGTCCACTAGGATTTACAGTGTATACAAAAAGGTTATCAGCCCCGGTTAGGCGGTAAACTCAAAATGACCGAGGGCAGAATCGCATACTCAGATAGGCTGTGTGTGCAGAACAGGTTAACATGGTTTATTCGGGCACCAGCAGCCAAGTTCGGAGCGGCGCTGATTAAGCCGCGTACAGCCGAGAATGCTGCAGCACAGGACGGTGCCAGGGCCATCCTGGTTGAACTGCTGTCCGATGACGACCTGGATCTTTACCAGGAACATACAAACGTCATGGAACTGCTCAAGGCCCTCCAGACGCGATACAAGGGCTACGCAGCTGCGTACATGCACAGAAACTATGGGGAGCCTTTCAAGACTGCAAGCAGAAACCTGACATGTCTTTTCAGGAAATACACCAAGGCGCTGAAGGATATAAGTTGCGGGGAAAGAGGGCAAGCTGTGGCCAATGCCAACGCCGTGTCCGTGGGCGTTGAAAGGTCCAAGGCCAGAGTATAAGCTGTATATTATTATTATTATTGTACTACTCCGTCAAGGGTGCAATGCCGCAAAACCTGTCCGAGCTCGAGGGGCACCTGATGGATGTAGAGGCGCAGATCGAGGCATCGACATCGGCCGAGGTCCCACCTGTAGTGCTCCACACCGGCAAGGGCAACAGCAACAGAGCTAAAATCAAGGGCAGCAGCAACAGCCACAGGGGCGGCAACGGCAACGCTAACTTTGGTGGAAGGTGCTACAACTGCAAAGAGCGCCGCGGTCACCGAGCGTCTGAATGCCCCAAGCAGTGATTTTTTTTTCATTTAGGGGGGGGTCTCAATTTATTCCAACCTAAGTAACAAAGTTGCTAGCGTCGCCGTTCTGTATTCCTTAAGAGTNGGGGCGCTGG